CTCCGCTTCCCAGGGCCTTTTGCACATGTTGGACGCCTTGATCGAGGCGAAAGGCAGCTGGGCTCAGATGCTCGGCGCGGATCTTGTATGGATGGCCGATCGAATCAGCGTGCCTGCGATACACCGTCCCGTTGGCGGCACGTCTTGGTGGATTTACATGGCCCGCACGGACAGAGCAATGTGGACCTCTTGGTGTCGGGAGGCCGAGCGCAGTGCCCTAGCGGAACACTTAGCGTTGGCCGAGGTAGCTATATGGAGAAGTGATTTGCACGATATATGTTTGCGCGGTAACCTTCCTGTACCCCATATTCTCAAGCCTGCTGCTAGCGAGCTCGTTTATCCCTGTCGGGACTGTGACCTAGTCTTCAATTCTAAAGTGGCATGGTCGCGGCATCGGACACTGGCTCATCCAGTGTTCGACCTGGCGGGACGCGTCGCAGTGGGCACGGTCTGTCAAGCATGTTGTCTGGATTGGAGCAGGCGCAGCCGCCTGCTTCGACATCTCCGCTTCGGATCGCGGCACTGCTTAGCTCAGCTGGTGCATCATATGGAACCGCTATCAGTTGAGCAGGTGTGTGAGCTCCGTGCTGAAGACGCCCGCGAGGCGCGTGCTGCCCGTATGCGTGGGGAGCGTCAGAACTATGCTGCAGGACCGCCCGTGAGGATCATTGGCCCCGCCCTGGGAGGCGAGGTGGATCCAGTCGTCATCAGGGCGACTACGGAGGGTGTCGAGCGAGCCCAGCACCAGGCGGAGTGTGATGTGCAATCGTCTGGGCTCCCTCGTCAACCGACGTTCACGAGGTATTATCTCCATCTTTTTAGTGGCCAGAGGCGTCCGGATGACGTCCAGGCCCATTTTGAAGTCTTTCAGGCGCGTTCGTTGTTGCCTGTCATCATGCTATCCGTGGATGTAGCTAACAGCCCTGTTCGAGGTGATCTCACTCAGAAAAAGTCTGTGCAGCAGCTACTGTCGCTAATATGGGACGGTGCAGTCCTGGGCGCGGTCGGAGGACCCCCATGCGAGACATGGTCCAAAGGTAGAGCTAACCCACCTCCGTGCGGAGGCGACAGGCCACGGGTGTTGAGATCCGACAAGTGGCCCTGGGGCTTGCCTGCTCGCTCGAGGTCCGAATGGGAACAAATAATGCTTGGTAATCGTTTGCTCCAGACCATGTTGCAGGTAGCATATGTGTGCTTGGCTAAGGGCATTGCTTGCATCGTCGAACACCCCCTCACGCCTCCTCCTCCTCACCTCCCCTCAATATGGCGTCTGCCAGAAGTACGTGCGATGAGGGGCATGTCCCGACATGCACGGGTGGAGTTTTTGAATGTTGATCAGTGTCAGTGCGGGGCCCGCTCTCGGAAACCGACAACCCTGCTTGCTGTCAACTCTCTTGGTTTGAAAGATTTGATCCGCCAGCTCCCAGGCAGCGGTGTATGTAATCATGAGTCGCATCCTGAGGAGTTGGTGGGCACCCGTGCGAATGGCCAGTTTTCTACCGCCGCTGCCAAACAGTACCCGTCTTTGCTTTCCAAAGTCATTGCGCAGTCTCTGCTCTTGGCGGCTCCTTCAGACTTGACCTTGTTACAGGCAGGAACATTGCCCGAGGTTCCAGCAGAGGTCGAGGAGTTTTTCGTGCCCTTCGACCCGTTCTACGAAGGACACGGGTGGGGGCAGTTCGCGTCGGACAGGCACCGCTAATTGTCTTGCCGCCGCCGCTGCTGCCTCTCTTTGCATGATTCTTCAGTGCGGTCTTCGGCCTCCATCGGCGCAGGAAGAAGAAGGAGGAGGAGGAGGAGGAGGAGGAGGAGGAGGAGGAGGAGGAGGGGGAGGAGAAGGAGGAGGATGAGGAGGAGGAGAAGGAGGAGAGGGAAGGGCAGAGAGGAGGAACGCGCAGGCGGAGGAGGAAGTCAAGGCGGGAGTGAATGAGGAGGAGGCGGACGAGAGATGTAGGGAGGAGGAGAGGAGGAGGAGGAGGAAGGAAGATGGTGGAGTAGGAGAGACGGAGGAGGAGGAGGAGAAGCGAGATAGGAGGAGGAGGAGGGATCGAGGATGCGAAGATGGAGGAGAGGAGGAATGAGGAGGAGGGAAGTATTAGGAGGAGGTTTTTGAATGATACGGCATATTATTCTGAGTTTATGTTCTCAGGTTAAAGTTTGTTCCCCTGGCCTCGAAGCAAACCGCTCCTGGGGGAAACGAGTCCTGAGGACTCCGGCCGTTTTCGGGCCCTCGGGGCCCTCCACGGGCCCCGGGATACCTGGGGCCGTCAGGAAACGGCTCGGAAGGAACTGCTGGTCTTAAGTCGGGCGTTCCGCTCTACAGGAGGAGGATTCAAAAGCAGCCCAAGAATTGTCACTATTACCTAACAGCGAAGACTGATGGGTTTCTAGTAGGGCCAAAAGAGAGCATCATGACGCCCCAGGGGGGTCTGGGCGCGATCCGGGGGAGGATGCCAGAGAACTCGTTTTAAGCAAACAGTAACGCACTTCGTGGTCTTCGAGTTCCCAGAACTCCATTCCTGGGCATGATTTTGAATGCCCGGAGCCAACTGTAGGCCACTTCATGTTCTTCGTGTACCGAGAACACCATTCCCGGGCCACAATTTGAATGCCCGGAGCCAACTGTAGGCCACTTCGAGTTCTTCGTGTTCCCAGAAGACCATTCCTGGGCCACATTTTGAATGCCAGGAGCCAACTGTAGGCCACTTCGTGTTCTTCGTGTTCCCAGAACATTCTTCCCGGGCCACAATTTGAATGCCCGGAGCCAACTGTAGGCCACTTCGTGTTCTTCGTGTTCCCAGAACACCACTCCCAGGCTACATTTTGATTGCCCGGAGCCAACTGTGAGGCTGAGGCTGAGGCAGGCTGAGGCTGAGGCAGGCTGAGACTGAGCCTGAGGCAGGCTGAGGCTGAGGCTGAGGCCGATGCAGGCTGAGGCTGAGAGGCTGCCGCTGAGGCTGAGGCAGGCTGAGGCTGAGGCCGAGGCCGAGGCCGAGGCAGGCTGAGGCTGAGGCTGAGGCAAGCCGAGGCAGGCTGAGGCTGAGGCTGAAGCTGAGGCAGGCTGAGGCTAACGCTGAGGCTGTGGCTGGGGCTGAGGCAGGCTGAGGCTGAGGCAGGCTGAGGCTGAGGCTGATGCAGGCTGAGGCTGAGGCAGGCTGAGGCTGAGTCTGAGGCATGCTGAGGCCAGGCTGAAGGCTGGGCCTGAGGCCAGGCAGGCTGGAGGCTGAGGCCGAGGCCAAAGCCCAGGGCAGGCTGAGGCTGAAGCCTGAAGATGAGGCAGGCTGAGTCTGAGGCTGTTTCTGATGCTTAGGCAAGCTTCGCTGAGGCAGGCTGAGGCTGAGGCTGATGGCATCTGAGGCTGAGTCTAGGCTGAGCTGAGGCTGGATGCAGGCCTGATGCTTGAGGCCAGTCAGGCTAGGCTAGGCCGAGGCAACCCAGCAGCATTGACCGAAGCTCCATCAGTGGCAGGCTGAGGCTGAGGCTGTGGCTGAGGCTGAGGCAAGTGGCGGCTGAGGCTGATGCTTGAGGCCTGAGTCTGATGCAGGCTGAGGCTGAGGCAGGCTGAAGGCTGAGCTGAGCAGCTGAGGGCTGAGGCCGAGGCAGGCTGAGGCTGAGGCCGAGGCAAGCCGAGGCAGGCTGAGGCTGCGACTGCGAGAACAGCAGAATTCTACAACTGGATTCTCACCTAAATCTTAAGGGGGATGCTTCCAGATATGCTTCTACATATCGCTGTTAGGTTGCTTTGCCGGGATAAGTTTGAACTATTTGGGGGGCATCGCTGGACAAATTGTAAGTCGTCCGTCCAAAATCCGCCTGTAGGGGGGACACGCCCGACCTAACGCCCCGGGGGTCCAGGGTCCGTTCCCCTCAGTCAGGAGGGAAGAAGAACACACAGGCGCAAATAACCGTCGGTTCTCAGGAAAGCATGGAAAGATATAGGAGAAGGGGGGGGAGGAAGACGAGAGTCAAGAAAAATTGATAGCATATGGGGAATCCTGGGATTGTGTGTATATTTGTTTGTGTCTTGAACATATCTGCGTGAGTCCCGCGCGCGTTCCTCGGATCGGCGCCGGCTCCCCCTCCCTGAAAGTCCGCGTGGGCCTTCGCAATTTTCTGCTCACGCCGTTTCTCCTTCCTCGATCAGGACCCAGACGTGATCGCGACGTTAAAACCTCAGGACGGGAGGTTTGTGGCCACTTTCGGCCTCGGGGGGGGGGGCCTCGCCAGGCCCCGGGACCGTCAACAAGACGCCTCGGGATGAGAAACCAGCCCCAGGGAGAGGGTCTGGACTTCCGGGGGGCGCCGTCCTGAAAGAGTCCGGGCGGCGCACGTCGGGGGACTCCCGCCGCACGCGTCGGACGGCAAAGGTGAGCACCCCACCGCACTCCGTGCGTTTCCTCGGGGCCCTCAGGAGCGGGCGAAGAGAACTCTGCACGTGCACCGATCCCGACGACGTCCATCCTTGAGACCCAGGATCGGTGCACATGCCTCCCTGGCCGAGGCAGGAGGGCGTATATGCACCGATCCTGGGCCCAGGGTGGGCCCGGGGCCAGAATATCGGCGTGTGTGCATGAAGTTCTCTTTCCTCGATCGAAGGATTGCAAAAACAAAAACAAGGATTGCAAAAAAAACAAGGGTTTTTTTGCAATCCTTCGTTTTTTTTTTTTGCAATCCTGAGTACACAGAGGGGCGGCGCGCGCCGTCGCGGTGGCCGACCTCCCGCCCCCTCGGCCCGCCCGCTCACCTTTCTTCCTCGGCTGCTCTCGCGGTGCCAATTTGCTGGGGCGGCGCGCATGCTGCTTGGTCCTCCGAAGGGCAGGGCCCCGGAGCTCCACGCCGCCCGGCAGGGCTGAGCCTAGGCGGTGTTTCTCGTCTTCCTTTCGTTTTCGTTTGCCCCACCTCTTTGGTCTCGAGTCCAGCCTTTGCCGCAAAACGAAGTCGGAACGAAGACGGCCCACGAAAGCACTAAGAATACCGTCTAGGTCCAGCCCTGCCGCCAGGTGGCGAAGCGTCACCGGGGGCGCCAAGACAAGGGCCTGGTGATCGTCAACCTGCAGGCCACGCCGTGCGACGAGGCCGCGGCGCTGCGGATCAACGGCCTCGTCGACGACGTCATGGAGCGCGTGGAGCAGCTCCTGCTGCAGAGGGGGTGCTCGCCAGGAGGAGTCGCGGCGCTCACAGCCCAGACCCCCTCGCGTGGTGACGCAGGCCACGACTGGCGGGTTCCCACCATTCTCGGCCTCGGGGGGCCCTCGCCGAGGCCCAGGACCGTCCGAAGATGACTCGGGATGAGAAGCCGGTCCTGGGGCATCCCTGACTCCAGATCCGCCCTACTTCGGCTTTTTTCCCCAACTTACAATTGCGTCGGAAATCCACCTCTAAGAAGCCGAGCAAGTAGGGCGGAACTTTCTGCACCCAACATAAAATGGGGCGGAAATCCACAGAAGTAGGGCGGAAACAGCCACAGAAAAGTAGGGCGGAAATTGGCATCAGCGGGGCTTGAAAAGTAGGGCGGAAATCCCAAGCCCTGCTTGCGACTTTCCCCAAAGTAGGGCGGATCCGGAGTCAGGGAAGGCTGAACCCCGTCACTGGCCCCAAGCTGGCCAACACTAAACGATCCAGCGATCGAAGCGCCGCCGCCCGCGTCATGGTCGAGCGGCCCTCCCTGCACATCCTGCTGCTCCAATCTGTTCGATGCCTGGGCCCCAGAGGTCCGGGCCACTTCCCCATAGGGCAGGCTTTTCGTCCCGAGTCCTCGACGGCCCCGGGGCCCGGCGAGGGCCCCGGGAGTCCGAAAGGTGCCACAGAACCAGACCCCCGACGTCGTGATTTTTTCGAAGCGTTCCCCCCGGGAGGTCTGGACCCTTTCCCGGGGCCCGGTTTTTCAGCCTGGATCATGCTTTGACGGCCCCGAGGCCCGGGAAGGGCCCCTGGAGAGAATAGCAAAAAAAACTCACGTCGTGGTGTTTTCACAACCCTGACTCCGGATCCGCCCTACTTTGGGGAAATTCGTAAGTAGGGCTTGGAATTTCCGCCCTACTTTTCAAGCCCCGCTGATGCCAGTTTCCGCCCTACTTTTCTGTGGCTGTTTCCGCCCTACTTCTGTGGATTTCCGCCCTGTTTCATGTTGGGTGCGAGAATTTCCGCCCTACTTTTTCGGCTTCTCATAGGTGGATTTCCGCCGCAATTTTACGTGGGAAAAAAAGCCAAAGCAGGGCGGATCTGGAGTCAGGGCCTGGAGAAAATAGCACGAAAACCTCACGCCGTGGCGTTTCCACGACCCCAGGGCGCCCCGGGAGTCCGAGAGCTACCGCCGCTCTATAGCTTGCTCGGAGCGGCTGCCGCGCAGAGGGGCCGTGCGCGGCCCTCTTTCGCCGCGCCCTCCCTGCGCGCCGCAGCGGCAGGAGCCGGGCCGGCGCGGGGAGCCCGGATCCCCCGACGCCCAGAGGTTTCCACAACGTCGACCCCCCAGAGGTCTGGACCCTGCTCCTCCTTCTCTCCTCCCTCCTCCCGTCTCTCCTCCCTCCCTCCTCCTCCTTCTCTCCCTCCTTCTCCTTCGGTCCTCCCTCACCTACTCCCTCCCCCTCTCCTCCCTCCCTCCCTCCTTCCTCCTTCCTCCCCCCTACCCCTTCGACAGACGGTTGCGCCAGGCCTCGTCCCTCCTTCCTCCTCCCTCCCTCCCCCTCCTCCTTCCTCCTCCCTCCCTCCCTCCCTCCCTCCCCCTCCCTCCTCCTCCCTGGCCGCTGCGCCCTATCGAGCTCCTGTGGAGGCCGGGCGCCCCCACCCCCAGACCCCCGACGTCGTGATTTGTTCACACGGCGTCCACCCCCAGAGGTCCGGACCCTTTCCCTGGGACCGGTTCAGTCCTGGAGAATGGGTCCAGACCTCTGGGGGTCGACGTTGTGAAACAGAAACACGAAACGTCAGGGGCCTGGGTCCTGGGAAGGGACCCCAGAGGCCGAAGACCACGGAAAAAGACCGCCCGTCGTGGTGAATTCTCTCCGTGCGGGTCAGCCACGCACGCGCAGAGGAGGGTGGGGGGAGGGGGGAGGGCTTCTTAGAAGCAACCCTGCTTCTTAGAAGGCGCGGGCCTTCTCTACAGATGTAAGGCCGTCGCCTTTTAAGAAGCAACCTCCTTCTAAGAAGCCCTCCACCCCAGACATCCGACGTCTCGATTTTTCCCCACATCCTGAGTGGGGTTCTTGTTCCCCACATCCTGAGTGGGGTTCTTGTTTTCCCAGAACACCCTCTCCTTCCCACCCACCTCCCGCTCCATCTTCCATACAGCACAATATTATTCCTACCACACACACCATACCATACCATAGTTCCTACCACACATACCAT